CCCATACTATTAAATCCCGGTTATATCGGTATCCCTAAATATTTCGGGAATCGGGATTGGGATCGGGAAATCCCATATTTTGCCTAAAAACTAAGAAATATTGCATCTTTTTTCCATTAGTATTATTTTATACACTAAACCAACTTGAATATATTATATACATATTATTGTTCTTGCCTTATTTAGTTTTACCACAAAACTTTGAACAAACAAAATTTTAAAAATTTAAAAATAAGTTGAAACAATTTATTTTATATTGTATTCCTCATCTCCTTGACACTATATATATATATATATATATATATATATATATATATATATATATATATATATATATATATATATATATATATATGTGTGTGTGTGTGTGTGTGTGTGTGTGTGTGTGTGTGTGTGTGTGTGTGTGTGTGTGTGTGTGTGCGCGTGTGTATTTTTATTAGTTTTTTTTTTTCTTTTTTTCCTAATCGGGATTAAAATATCCCAATCGGGATTGAACCAATTCCCTAATACCGATCCCGTATTTGTTCCTAATCCCAATCCCGAATCCCGTAATCCCGAATTCCCGAAGTTTTAGTCCCAAATAGTAAAATTCCGATCGGGACGGGACGGGATCCCGAATCCCAATCCCAAATGCCCGGCCCTATGTTTTTGTACTTCAAACCGAATAGTTTAGCATAATTTTTAATTTTATTTTGAAAATATATATATTTTTTGAATATCGTACAAATCATACGAATCGAATCGTAAATCATACAAACGGATTTTAAATTCTACAGTTTTTTGAAATTTACGATTTACTCAACGATTTGAATCGAAAATGATTCAAATTGTATTGAATCGTACGATTTTAATAACCACGGGAGAGAGGGCTTTATTGAAACTATGAGGGACTGAATTAAATATTTTTAAAACTTCATTTGGGACTTACAAAAATTCTGGAGTGAATATATAATTTTTGAAATCTGTGATTTAGAGGCTATGTATATCTTTTTAGGCTGAAAATACACCCAATCACATAATTGGCGAGTGTATCGCATGATCATGGATTAGGGGTTTCATGTCTTTGACTAAATTTGGTAAATGCTAATACTTTTAACACAAAGACTTTTCTAACAATTAGATTTATCCTTGGGGTAACATTTGCTAAAAACTCCAAATATTTCTCTAAGTTTCCATGATAATATTTGAAGAAAACGTGTAGAAATTATTCTATATAAAAATTTAAAATTATTTCTTCTTTCTTAATTATTTTTCTTAAAAAAAGAAAGAAAAGTCTTTTCTTATTCCATAAGAAATATTTACTAAATAATCTTTAGTGTGTCATTTCATCAACTCAAATAATTTATTGTAAATATTTAAATGAGCTTTTAGCAAGCGCTACCCTTGTGATAAGTCTAATTGCCAACCTATATAAAAACAATTTGCATTTACCCCATATGTTAACAAGTCAAAGACACATGCCCCCTTACCAACAAATCGTGTATTGCATGCACAGTTTGTGCGGTTTGTGTTTGTTTTTATGATGTGAAAAGTCTTAAATGCCCCTTGAAATTCTTTTTTTTTTAATAAATAAAAATTCAATGAACTTAAATATAAATAATCCAAATTTTTTGATCCAATTGCATATTTTAAACAATTCTTCAAACCAAGTGCAACAGTGATGCCGCCCCCTTTCTTTCGTCACCGTCTCCATCTCCATCTCTCCAGGCGGCGAGACAACCAGATGAGTCATCTCCGCATCGCCGCCATCCGGCAGATATGGTGTCGCCACCAAGCATGAAGCATGGTGCACCAATCATTTTTTTCTCCAATTACATTATGCCAATAGAAACTTCAGATCTTCCTTTCTTTGTCGGGGATTTCCAAAGGGTTTTTTTTGCTGTAAAAACTCTATCTTCAAACCGGTATGAATCCTAGAGATTCAAGACTCAAGAGTACATGTTTCTTCAACTGTCGTTCCTCTTTCTTTTTCTCCGTTCCTCTTTATTTTTTTCCTCTTAGAATTGATGAAATGAAAATAGAGGGTAAATAATTGATTTTTGGGATTATTTTGTAGAACCCCCCTTCATTTCCAAATTATATAGAACTAACTACCAAGTGGATTACACTTTAGGGGAAACCCCCCTCATTCCGAACATATTTTGACGATACCCCCCTGGGCACCCTGAAGTCCATCTAATACCCTTTTAAAATCAGTTTTAAACCTTAGCCACTCACGTTTCGGTCTCTCTCTTCTTCTCCCAAATTCAAAATCCCGTCTCCACAAACCTCCCACCGGCGAAATTGCTTCCCGGAGTCATAACTCTCTCTCCGGTGGTCGGAATTCGATGGTTTAACTACCGTTGGATTCCTCTCGTCGTGCTCTTTCTTTTGGTGATGACTTCATTCAGTTTGGAGCGCAGATTTGTTTCTGCAATTTTTTTTTCATTCGACGACGGTGGTCTTGCCGGAGGTGTATTTTGTGTTCCATCAGTCGAAATATGACGGGCTACCCACTGTTGGATTCCTCTCGTCAAGATCTATATTTTGATGGTAATTTCGTTATTTTTATGTTTTCAAATTTATTTCTATACTTTTTTGCATTTGTGGGCGCGCGGAAGAACTGTGGGTGGTTAAAAGCGGCGGCTAGGGTTTTGGTAGGGCGAGGGGTGTAATGAGTCACTGTTTGTTTGATTTAAAATCTGTAGCATTTCCCATCAATAACCTCTCTCTCTATCTCTCGATCTCTTAGTGTTTGTTGATTTTTGAGTGTTTTGATGTTTCTTCAAATTTTGTTGATTTGCACTAAAGTAATTAATTTTTTTTTTTTTGATTTTGCAATTGCAGCTTAATGCAAGCCATTGATCCTCTCCTGAAGGTGTCAAAAATTTGGTTGAAGTTACATCTGCTTCAAGTTACAATATTCAACAGACTGTATACATTACTATACATTGCTATACATTACTATATATTACTATACATATAGTAACATGTAGTTACATATGCATATATTTGTATATTTTCGATTTGTATTTTATTGGTTCTGAAGTCATTTATAATAAAAATATTGAAATTTGTAAATTTTTGTTGGGGTTTATGAATTTCTTTTGTATAAGCCAGTATTCTTGTGTGTATACAATTGATCGACTAAAAATATGGGGTAAAAAACGAGCATAACTACGAATTACTATGGGTACTAAAGTTACATGTAGTTATATTCAGTACAGTAAACATATTGTTTTGAAAATAAAAAAAAATATAAAAAAAAATTAAAAAAAAAATTAATTTTTTTAAATAAAAAAAATTAAAAAAAATAAATATATTTATAAATTTAACAAACAGGTTTATTATTAAAAAAAATAATAATAATAAATAAATCAGCGAAAATGATATATGCAGGCCCAGAAATGTTGAATGTAGTTTGGCCGAAAATTACATATAAGGGTAGTATAATACTTTCGCTTCTTCAGGGGTTATGTCAAAGGATGATTTGGGCTTGGGTTTATACCTAGTTTATTTGGTGGCTATGGGGTTATGTAAAATAACCCCTTGATTTTTTTAAGATTGATGGGTGGCATGGGGCAATGGTGGAGATAGCAGTGTATATATCGGTGGTGATTGAAGAGATCAAATCAATGGCGGAGACTCTCGTCTTTTCAAGAAACACCGTGTTAGTTGCAGGTTGGTGTTGTGGTTTGCAACTTGGGGATTTCATCGGGGCTGGGGATTATGTTCTTGAAGTGAAATGAGAGGGTGGGCGTTTCCGATTTGCAGCGGCAATGGCAGAGGTTGTGGTGAGAGATGAAGAAGATGATGACGTGTTTTTACTTGTTTTTTTTTAGGGTAAACTGCATAAAACCACCTGTGTTATGGAAAATCTACACCAAATCCCCCTGTGTTAATTTTATTGCATAGAATCCCCCTGTGCTTTATTTTATCTTGCATGAAATCCCCTATTCCGTTAACAATTAACACCGTTAACTATTTAGGGGATTCCATGCACGTTTTTCATAACACAAGGGGGTTTGATGCATGTTATTTACAATGCAAGTGGAATTTATGTAAATTTATTTATTTATTTAAATGTTAATTTTTTTTTTAAATTAAGTCAAATATACTTATTCAATTTTTGAAAGTCGAATTTTTAAAATTATTAATATAATTATTTATATCAAAATTATATCCGAATTTTCATATTATTTATATTCTTTGACATATAATACATCCAAGATAAATTATACAAATATATATAACAATATTGATTTTATAAGTATATAATTTTGATTTTTTTAAAATACATTGATAAAATACTTTTTTTATTCAAAATTGGAAATTTCCAAATTTTTTTATTTAGTTTCAATTTTGATGCAATTGTTTTTTCTTTTAAGAAGTTGAATCAAATTTTGGAAATCCAAATGAGGAAAACAATGTTCTAAAATTTAAAAAATTGAATTGGAAATGGCAAAATTACAAAAAAATAAAAAACAATTGTTAGAAATTTCATCCTTATCATTAGTTTTTAATTTTTTTATATTGCAATTGAATATATGTGTTTGACTTAATTTAAAAAAATAATTCAAATTTTAAATAGATAAGTATTTTTGCATAAATCCTCATATATTGAAGAAAATATCCTCCAAACCCCCTTGCGTTATGAAAAAATTGCATGAAACCCCCGAAATAGTTAACGGTGTTAATTATTAACGGAATGGGGGATTTCATGCAAAATAAAATAAAACACAGGGGAATTCTACGCAATAAAGTTAACGCAGGGGGGTTTGGTGCATGTTTTCCATAACACGGGGGGGTTTTATGCAGTTTACCCATTTTTTTAAGTACTTTCTGTATTTCTAATGAAGGGTAATTTAGACATTTAATGTAAGTCAACGGGATTATTTCGGATAGGGAGCTGTGGGCTAAATAAAACTCATTATAGAGGGGTCAATGCTAATTGTTTTAACATAAGGACTTTTCTGGTAATTAGACATTTCACGGGGTCTGTGTAATTAACTCTATTTAAATATGTAAGCTGACAACTAAGAGTGCTGGTTAAAAAAAAAAGATAGAGATGGTTGACAATCTTGCGGGACTTATGGGTTAATCATTTAAATTAAATTTTGCAAATATTAATACTCATATTATTGAGGTTTAGTTTGACAGTGTCCTAAATACAACTTGCTTCAACAATTAGTTAATGTTATTCTTACAAAATCTATTGATATTTTATTATGCATACATTTCCACTGACAGCTATTATCGTGCCAATTATATTTTTATATGTTATGACTAAGGTAACATGATGCCTAGTATGAAGATTGAAGACAATCAATATTCTGGTTGGATATTAGCTAGCTCAAAATCACCGGCAACCCACAATATTTTGAATGCGTTATAGCACCCTAATAATGTTAACAAAAATTCTTCTATTCTCTCTTCTTCTCTTCCATTTTGCACCGGTCAAATATGCAGTGGCAGTTTCCAATCAAACCAGCACCGGGAGACCTCCATCAACTATCACAAAAGGCGTCAACATAACAAAGCCAGGCTGCAAAAGCATGTGTGGGAATTTAATTGTTCCATATCCATTCGGCATCGGCTCAAATTGTTCAATACACCCTTCATTTGATATCTACTGCGATAATTCTTTCAATCCTCCAAAGCCACTGATCTTCAATGGAATATTGGAAATGGAAGTTACTGATATAACAGATTCACAAATCAGGATCAAGAACTATATGGCTGTCACCTGTTACAACAAAACAGGCAACGTGACCAGGGAAGACCTAGTCGACGACACCCAGATAGAGCCACCTTTTAGCATATCTGATGCAAACAAGTTCACAACTGTCGGATGTGATGATATTGGCCTACTATTCGGGCTTGAAGGTGCTAATTCGACCAATGGGTGCATTTCCACTTGTTCTTCAAGAGAGCAAGTTCTTGATGGTTATTGCAATGGTACCGGCTGTTGCCAGACCTCAATACCAAGGGGCCTAACAAGACTTTATGCCTCCCTAGACACCATTCATAAACACATTAATGTGTGGTCCTTTAGCCGTTGTGGTTATGCATTTCTTGCAGAGCAGGATACCTTTATATTTCATTCCTCTGACCTTGATGACGTCACTTTTGAAGAACGAATCATTGAGAATGTCCCAATAGTTCTCGATTGGGTGATTCGGAACGAAACATGTGATGAAGCTCGGAAATTCGATGATTTTGCATGTCACAAGAACAGTACCTGTGTCGACTCCACCACCAGTGTTAATGGATATAACTGCATATGTTTCCAGGGATATGAGGGCAATCCGTATCTAGAACCAGGCTGCACAGGTAGTTTTCTTTTGGCATTTTACACCACACCTACGATATTATGCCCGTTAGAATTTTTTTTTTTTTTGATGTTTTGAGAAGCGGATTATTACGATGTTCATTTCTGAATTTCAGACACAAACGAATGTGAGAATAGTCCATGTGTATCAAATGCCATATGCACTAATTCTCTTGGTAGCTATAATTGTTCATGTCCTCGTGACTTCATGGGTGATGGCACCAAAGTTGGCACTGGCTGCTATAAAAATAAAAGGCACATCCCAACTCTCACGTTGTCATTAGGTACCCATGATTGATAAACATCAATTCAATGTCTTTATTCTTTCTTTGCAATTTTGTTGGATGACAATAATGATCAAATATTAGGATTTCAAAATGTGAATCTTCAGGTATCGGTTTAGGCTTCATGGCTGTGATAATTGGCATTACTTGGATATACTTTACCATCAAGAAGAGGAAACTCATGAAACTACGACATAAATTCTTCCACCAAAATGGTGGATTTTTATTGAAGCAACAATTATCATCAAATGAGAGTAATATGCAATCAACTAAAGTATTTTCTGCTCAAGAGCTTGAGAAGGCTACCAACAATTATTCCGAAGATCGAATACTAGGTCGAGGTGGTTATGGGACAGTTTACAAAGGGATACTAAGTGACCAACATGTTGTTGCAATCAAGAAATCTATAAAACTGGATGAGAGCCAAGTAGAGATGTTCATAAATGAGATGGTTATTCTGACTCAGGTTAACCACAGAAATGTGGTGAAACTAATGGGGTGTTGTTTGGAGACTGAAGTACCTTTGTTAGTGTATGAATACGTCTCAAAAAATACACTATATTACCATATCCACAACAGTGGAGGAATGCCATGGTTTTCTTGGGAAAATCGGTTGAGGATCGCCGCAGAGGCGGCCGGTGCACTTGCCTATCTTCATTCTTCAGCAGGAATGCCGATTATCCATAGAGATGTTAAATCTCCCAATATATTATTGGATGAGTTCTACACTGCAAAAATAGCAGATTTTGGAGCTTCAAGACTGATTCCTATTGATCGAACACGAGTGACAACTCATGTACAGGGAACCTTTGGTTACCTTGATCCTGAGTATTTCCGTACAAGTCAACTGACTGAGAAAAGTGATGTATATAGCTTTGGGGTGGTGTTGGCTGAGCTTCTGACAGGTAGAAAACCCGTGTGTACTGAAAAGAGTGAAGAAGAAATTAGCCTGGCTACTTACTTTGTAGAGTGCGTGAAGGAAAATCGGTTGTTCCAAATTATTGAGCCACAAATTATGAGGGAAGGGAGTTTGGAGCAAATCAGTTCAATGGGTGAGGTTGTTAAGAGATGTCTCGAGTGGAAAGGGGAAGAAAGGCCAACTATGAAAGAAGTGACAATGGAATTAGAGAGGTTGAGAAAGTATAATATTCAGTCCCACAAACAAGAAGAAAAAATCCCTCATGGAAACATTGGTGAGCAGCAACCTGATCTATATCCAGTTCCACGGAATCCTGATTTCAGATCTGGACAGTACAGTATTGAGAGTCAGTTGTTCCATGCAATCAATAGCCCTCGCTAATCAGAAAGAACAAAGAGATTATTCAGGCGCTATGGTTTTTCCTATGAGGCTCTTTCTTAATTCATGTTTTTCCTATATTATTCTTCTACTATATATGATTTTCCTGTTAGCAACTTGCGTACTCATATGTTGGGAAACAATCATTTTTCTTCTGATGATTATAATTTGCATGTTAGCAATTTACATACCCAAAGGTTGAAAAACCAATATTTTTTATGACACACTCTCTTGTTGTATTGAGCTTTTGAATTTGTTGGTTGTATCAAACTCTGATGATTATTTTTAGTATCTTGCTTTTGTTGTAAGAATTTAATGTTCCTGGTAATGTTGGTCTAGATCATTAGGGGTTTATGACAAGACTTTTCAGCAGTATAAGTCCATGTATATTATCTTATGCATCAAGCATGTTTGTCTTCCCCAAATTTACTTAAAACCCTTAAACTTGATTTTGTTAGCAGTGAATTTATAAAAGCATGAAAGCGTGTTATGTAGCACATATTGAGGCATTTTAATCTTTATGAAGCATACGAAAGAAAGAAAGAAAAGGCATCCGTTCATACCATATACCTTTATAGAACAACAAAGCTCATATTCTAATGGAAGGGTAAAATTGTCACAAAAAGATCAAAAAATTTGTTCAAAGTGCCACATCATCCATGTTGGACAGAAAGACTAACAAATGCTAACAGCAAGGGCCATTTTGTCGCATTTCATAGTTCGGGGGTAAATGCGACAGTGGTCATAGTACAGGGGTACAAATTGTATTTAACCCTTATTTGTATTATCACTAGCACTAGCACTAGCACTAGCACCAACACCAGTATGGCTATCAGTATCAGTATCACTATTAATATTAGTACTAGTAGTATATTAGTATGCGTATGAGTATGAGTATGAGTATGAGTATGAATATGAGTGTTAGTATGAGTATTAGTATTATTGTTAGTATCATTATCAGTATCAATATCAGAATTATGATTAACATTAGTATTAATATGAGTATTTGCATTAGTATTTGTATTAATATCAGTATGAGTATTAGTAGAGTATGAGTATTAGTATTAGTATCAGTGTCAGGATTAGTATCACTATTAATATTAGTATGAGTATCAATATTAGTATTATTTCTAGTATGAGGATTAATATTATTATTAGAATCAGTATTAATGTTAACATTAGTATTAATATTAATATTAGGGTAAATAGCATTAAACCACCTAAACTTTTTCAGTTTTTGCAGATCACCACCTGAACAATTTTTTTTTTGCATGAGTTCACATGTACTTAATAAATTGTGTCACTTTGCCATTTTTTGCCCGTTTTCAGGTCAAAATGACCGGTTCTCAACCCATGTGCGTTGCACATGACAAATCTAAGGTTATTGACGTCTTTTCCATTTTTAAAATGGAATAAATGTTTTTTGTAGGATAAATGGAATAAATGTTAAATAAAATAAATAAATAAAAAAAAGGCCTTCATCTTCTTCCCAATCCCAGGAACTACCCATCTCACGCACAACCACCATATCCACCACCACCACCACATCTTCAGATCCGCCGCCCACAACCCCAAACGAGATTTTTCGACAATGAACACAATACATTCTAAAGTTTGTATTTTGAACACATTTAATCCCAACCCATTTTAATTGAATGAAATTGGTCCTAAAATTACGTCAAAAATGCCCATTTAATTTTCCCTTTCCCCAATTCAGGTTATACGAACTCTATTTTCTCTCGATTTCTTCCTCTGAATCAACTAGATCATCTTCCAACGAATGGAGGATTAGATGATCTTCTCACAATTGAGGCCGCAGCGGAAGTGTGCGACGCTTGGCGGTGAGATCGGGTGTGAAATCCTCTGCTTTTGCAACAAACACACTACCACTCCGAAATGATAAAACCACCACCAGTTGCACAAAAATTCGTCCCCCCATTTTCACCAAGATCATCCCACTTCAATTCAAATGCAAAATAAAATTATTTTTTTTTATTAAAATCAACAGATCTGAAGTGGGATTCAATCAAAGAATCAAATATTCGATGAAAAAAAGTGAAATACAAACGTACCAAGTTAATTCATACCGATTAAATTAGTGAAAAACGGGAAAGAATGTGTTGTGTGTGTGTATGTGTGTGTGTGTGTATGTGAGAGAATATTTCTTCAAAACCTGTGTTTTGCTTCTGCAACTCTTTAAGTGGGTTTTATCCCCTGCATATCTATGTATAATGTGTGTATATATAAAATTAATTAATTAAATTAAATAAAACTGACATGATTTTTTTTTCTTTTAATTATTCTATTTTATATTTATTCCATTTTCAAAAAAAAAAATTTATTCCATTTTAAAAATGGAAAAGACATCAATACCCTTGAATTTGTCATGTGCAACGCACATGGGTTGAGAACCGGTCATTTTGACCTGAAAACGGGCAAAAAATAGCAAAGTGGCACAATTTATGAAGTACATGTGAACTCGTGCAAAAAAAAAATTGTTCAGGTGGTGATCCGCAAAAACTGAAAAAGTTTAGGTGGTTTAATGCTATTTACCCTTAATATTATTATTAGTATCCTCCACTTTCCCTCTCTAACTTTCAAACTTTCATTCCATCCCAAACTTTCATTCCATCCCAGTTTAGGGCGGCAGACGGTGGTTCCGGGGGAGAGGCATTGGTGGGATCCTCAATTATGTAAAAAGGATTTCGTGGTTTGGTTTCGAAACTAATCAAGCAACAAATACAACCTTCTTCATCTTCCGGAATTTGTTTCTTAACGTAATTTGACATCATTAGTTTGAAAAAGTTCTTTATGAATGGTTACAAACATACAGTATAATCTGAAAACTAAAATTATTGACAAAAGACAAGAGAGAAGAGTTTCGTGAATTATAATGGTAATAGAAGCGGGAAAAGAAAAGGACAAGGTGTTTGACAATCCTTCAAGGATGCGAGGGGCTTTCGTTAATTAAGATTCTACAAATCCTTCTTCTTCCGTGAAAATATTATTGTGTTTATGTTGACATTGTCCTAAGCATCTATGCAGGTCAAGTCTTTCCATTTCATCGACTGCTTCATCGATCAGACCATGTTATTTTCACAACTTCTTTTAAAATTATTCATTCATCATCACACAGTTGTACACAAACACTCTACCTATATATATATATATATATATATATATATATATATATATATATATATATATATATATATATATATATATTAAACCGATTAAACTTTGCACATTTTTGCAGATTACCACCTCAACAAAAAAAAATTCTCGATCCCACCTAAACTTAATAAATATATATATATATATATATATATATATGGGTAAATAGCATTAAACCGATTAAACTTTGCACATTTTTGCAGATTACCACCTCAACAAAAAAAAATTCTCGATCCCACCTAAACTTAATAAGTTGTGCCACGTTGCCCACTTTTACTCATTTTCAGGCCAAAATGGCCGGAATTAGACGCATACTGTTTAGAAGGGTTTTTTTGTCTTTTCAAATTACAATTCTTAATTATTCCATTTTATTCCAATATTTCCACCATTTCTCCTCTTCTTCTTCTTCCTCTTGTTCTTCATCTTTTTAATCTTTCCACAATCTAATCGCACAATCTGGTAAATAGAAAAACGAAATTGTAAAAAGACAAGAAAGTAGGGTTGGGTTCTCTGTTCATTGCTCCACTTTCTCTACTTCTCCTACCCACGCCCAGTCGCCCACCCACCACCAATATCCGCCGCCTGCCGTTGCCATATAGACCGAAGAAGAAGGCTTGCTTTGTCTTCCCATCTTGTTTTGTCCTCTCGTGTATCTCTATCCCTTTTACCCCTAAGGCTCTGCACAAAGGAGTCGAAATTGGTACAGAAAAACAGACATGGTGCCCTCTGGGAAAAGTCTTGGGGTCTGCCACTGCTGACATGGCGGTCCATGGACCTTCATATATATATATATATATATATATATATATATATATATATATATATATATATATATATATATATATATATGGTAAATAGCATTAAACCGCCTAAACTTTGCCCGTTTTTTCGGATGACCACCTCAACAAAAAAAAGTCTCGATCCCACCTGAACTTAATAAGTTGTGCCACGTTACCCATTTTTTCTCATTTTCAGGCCAAAATGGCCAGAATTAGACGCATACTGTTTAGAAGGGTTTTTTTTTGTCTTTTCAAATCACAATCCTTAATTATTCCATTTTATTCCAATATTTCCATCATTTCTCTTCTTCTTCTTCCTCTTGTTCTTCATCTTTTTAATCTTTCCACAATCTAGTCGCACAATCTGGCGAATAGAATAATGATATTGTAAAAAGACAAGAAAGCAGGGTTGGGTTCTCTTTTCATTGTTCCACTTTCTCTACTTCTCCTACCCATGCCAAGTCGCCCACCCACCACCAATATACCCCGCCTACCGCTGCCATCTAGACCGAAGAAGAAGGCTTGCTTTGTCTTCACATCTTGTTCTTTCCTCTCGTGTATCTCTATCCCTTTACCCCTAAGGCTCTGCACAATGGAGTCAAAATTGGATACAGAAAAACAGACATGGTGCCCTCTTGGGAGAGTTTTGGGGTCTGCCACTGTTGACTGGCGCTCCATGGACATATATATATATATATATATATATATATATATATATATATATATATATATATATATATATATGCGAATAGGAGAATCATTATTGTTGTAAATGCATAGTAGCACAAACTCAACAACAAGAATGTTAACAAACATTCTTGTGTGTTCTCTTCTCCTCCATTTCGTGTTGGTCGATCGGACGTGGGCGATTTGTACTGAAACCAGAACAAGGAGACCTGCCACAACTATCACAACAAGGAGACCTGCCACAACTATCACAAAAGGTGCCAACATAGCTAAACCAGGCTACCAAAGCAGGTGCGGAAATTTAACAGTTCCATATCCATTTGGCATTGGAATAGGCTCAGGATGTTCTATCGACCCTGTGTTTGATATCAATTGCAACACTTCTTTCAAGCCTCCGAAACCCTTTAGTGCTAATGGAAATCTTCAAGTTATTGATGTATCAGAATCCCAAATGAGGATAAAAAACTGGGTGGCTGCTAGTTGTTACGATCAGCTAGGAAAACCTGCCAGGGAAAACCTGGTTTATATCTGTTTGGCTCCACATTTTAGCTTTCCTGATGCAAATAAATTTACTATAACCGGGTGTGATGATCTTGCAACAATAATTGAAAGAGAAGAGGTTAATTTCGTGAAAGGGTGCATATCCCTTTGTTCTGCAAAAGAGGATGTTGTTGATGGATATTGTACTGGTATCGGTTGTGGCCAGACCTCAATACCAAAGGAGCAACAGACTTTTTCTGCTGCTCTAGCCAGCCTTGAGAATCACACCAAAGTGTGGTCCTTTGACCCTTGTGATTATGCCTTTCTTGCAGAGCAGGGCAGATTCACATTTCATTCATCTGACCTCAAAGACGAGGCCTTTGTAAACAGAATCATCGAGAACGTCCCAATACTTCTGGATTTTGTGATTGGGAACAGAACTTGCAGTCAAGCTAACAGATCCAATGAATACGCATGTCATGACAAAGGTGACTGCATTGATTCTGACACCAGTCTTGGTGGATATTACTGCAGCTGTTTTGAGGGATATGAGGGTAATCCATATCTCAGCCCATGATTCATAGGTTAGTTATTATATTAGTCAAGTTACATATTTTTCGGGTTTCAAGGTTTGGCAGACTCATCATTGTGATGTTTGTTCCTAACTTTCAGACACAAATGAATGTGAGAATAGTCTATGTGGTCCAAATGGAATAAGCACTAACGCTCCAGGTGGTTTTTACTGTTAGTGTCTTTGTGGTTTCGTTGGCGATGGCACAAAAGATGGCCGTGGTTACTTTAAACAAACTAAGCCAGTCCCAGTATTGGTATTGTCATTAGGTACTTGTGAAATGATTATCTCAGTTCTTTAAATGGTGTTGCATGATGTATAAATATCAAATATTGAATCAAAAGAAAGATTGCTGCTTCTAGAAAGCATAAGGTTGTAATACGTCCCAACATAACTAAAATCTTGGAAATGGACTATTGAAGTCAGCATCATAACAGGCCTGAAACAAAATGCTTCTAGAATGAACCACTCTTTGGTTTTGAATTACATTTGCATCAGTTTCAATTGCTTTGGTTAACTTTGGTTTTGAATTTCAAGGTTCCGGTTTTGGCTCATTGGCAGTGATAATTTGCATTACGTGGATTTGTTTTACCATCAAGAAGAGTAAACTCTTCGAAGTTATAAATAAATTCTTCTAACAAAACGGCGGTTTGTTATTGAAGCAACAGTTTTCTTCCAATGAAGGAAGTGTAGAATCAACTAAAATTTTTTTTGCCGACGAACTTGAGAAGGCAACCAACAATTATTCCGAAGATCGCATCCTTGGTCGAGGGGGTTGTGGTACAGTTTACAAGGGAATTTTGAGCAACAAATGTGTTGTGGCAATCAAAAAATTCAAAATAGTGGATCAAAGTCAAATAGAGCTATTTATCAACGAGGTGGTGATTCTGACTCAGATTAACCGCATAAATGTGGTCAAACTAATGGGGTGTTGGTTGGAGACTGAAGTACCTTTTTTAGTGTATGAATATGTCTCAAACGGTACCTTACTTCACCATATCAACCACACTGGGGAAATGCCATTGTTTTCTTGGGATAATCAGTTGAGGATTGCTGCAGAGGTTGCCGGTGCATTGGCCTATCTTCATTCTGCAGCAGCAATGCCGGGTATCCACAGAGATGTTAAGTCACCCAATATATTGTTGGATGAGTATTACACTGCCAAAATAGCTGATTTTGGATCTTCGAGACTTATTCCTCTTGATCGAACACAAATAACCACTCTTGTACAAGGTACATTGGGTTATTTTGATCCTGAGTATTTTCAGACAAGCCGTTTGAAAGAGAAAAGTGATGTTTATAGTTTTGGGGTGGTGTTAGCTGAGATCCTGACAGGGAGATAACCTTTGTCCGCTGAAAGAGTGAAGAAAAGATAAACCTGGCTACTTACTTTGTAATGTCGGTGATGGAGAATCGGCTGCTCCAAATAATCGAGCTGAGGATTTTGAGAGAAGGTAGATTGGATCAAATCAATGTAGTTGGTGAGCTTGTTAAGAGATGTCTAAAGTTGAACGGAGACGAAAGGCCAACTATGAAAGAAGTCACAATGGAATTGGAGGGGCTGAGAAAGTATAATACACAGTCGCAGAATCAAGAAGAAATAATCATTGATAGAAGAAACATGGAATTAAGAGGTGTGCAACAACCCGATCTATATCCAGTTTCAACAACTCCAGATATTCAGCACTGAGAGATACTCTGGACAGAACAATCAAGAAAATCGGATGTTTCACGTAATGAGTAGTCCTCGCTAAACAAAATGATATATAGCTTGAAGTTTTTGAGGTTTCTTTGATGCTCTGGTTTGATATGTTTCCGGTTATCTTTCTCGTATTCGCAATTTAGGGAGAAACAAGAATATTGTTGTGCTTATTGGATTTTTAGTTTCTTGGTTATAACTTGTAAGAACTCTGGTGATTTTTACAAGTTGAAAAATATAGAGCTAATAGCACAAAACCCTCTGTGTTATTTCCCATGGGGTTCGTCTCTCGAAATCTATGTGTCCTCAAACACCTAGTGAAATCGAGGAGATGAAAATGACGCCCTATGCTTCTGCCATGAAAGCATACTGTATGGCATGCTATGTACGAGACCCGATATTGCGTATGCTGTGAGTGTCACAAGCAGATATCAGTCTAACCCCGGCTCGGCTCACTGGAAGGCCGTGAAAGATATCCTCAAGTACTTGCGAGGGACTAAGGATATATTTTTGGTCTATGGGGGTGCCGAGTTGAAATTAGAGGGTTTTACCGACTCTAGTTTTCAACCGGATGTGGACGACTCAAAGTCGAACTCTGGATTTATATTCACGCTTAATGGTGGTGCTGTGTGATGGAAGAGTTCCAAGCAAAGCACGACGGCTGATTCCACTACCAAAGCGGAATACATTGCAGCGTCTGAAGCTGCAAAGGAAGGGACTTGGATAAGGAAGTTCATCCAAGAGTTGGGTGTCATTCTTTATGCTAGTGATCCTGTACCGTTGTACTGTGATAACACTGGAGCCGTGGCGCAAGCTAAAGAGCCGCGATCTCATCAGAAGTCGAAGCATATTCTGAGGAAGTATCATGTGATCCGAGAGATCATTGATAGAGGTGAAGTTAAAGTAGAACGAGTCACCTCGGAAGAGAACGTTGCAGACCCCTTTACGAAGCCTTTACCGAGATCGGTCCACGAGAAACATCGAGAGTCGATGGGATTACGATTCATGGGTAGTTGGCTTTAGGTCAAGTGGGAGATTGTTAGAGTAGGTGACCAACAAGCCAACATGTGGTTGTGGTCTTTCGTATTTATTATGGTAATAAACGAACATTTATTTGTATTAATGATAAAACACCTTGGCATTCTATATCTTTGTCCGTTTGTCACAAGCATAGATATAGTACTTACAGTTATTACAAGTACTAGTAATTGATCGTTAGGATCGTGAGATATTTACTTAAGTATTATAACTGTTAAACGTGTTCCTAGTCGAAGGGTTACGCCACCAATGAGGATATCGGCCTTTCCCATTAAGAGACTAGCACTTAGTGTATGTGTACTGCATCTCATCAGTAAACGATATTGTGATATCGGCATGCATAAGTGGGTGCTCGTAAGTTGACGAGTTCACTGAACTCCCTCACCCTAGAAATCTCTAAGTGGTTCCCAATAATCGAGTAGAGATATCTATGGTATAGTTGTACACCATTAGTCCTTATGACCTAGACATCACCGTGACTTCACTAGAGGACTAGCTGTATCGTGACCTGTCCCTGAGTTCCACCGACGACCATCCCAAGGGCCAGTGTTCGTGCAGTCCGAAATCTAGTGGGAGGTCTCTGCATTGTAGTCGGGGATTCCATCGCTAGAATAGTCTTGGATGTCATGTGTGTTCTGATAGTTTGTAATCATTCTAAGTCTCTGGCCAGAGCTGACTAAGTGATGATTAGAGAATTCGATTCTCTAAGTCATGCACGTAACGATTACAACACTTAGAACGATCGCACGGTCATTGAACAAATAAAGAGGTCTCGATGAAACAATTCCTCTAGTTCAATCGGGATATATGAATCGAAGGTATCGTACTGTACGTTAACTATATTTGAAGGTTCTTGCAGGCACTTCATTTGTATCTAGGGAATCATGACGCGTAGTTGCTAGACGCCAATCTTGATTCGTTGGGTGATTAAGGTGAAACGAGCTTCGTCTTAATCGTAACTCTAAGGGACGAGTTTTGACCACAAAGGGTTGTGGGCCCACGGCTAGCTTACACCTGAACCATCGAGGGTCACACTGCTCGTGCACATGAGATCTTTGAATAAACGGTCAGAGATAAAATGGTTTATCTTTGCATGATTGGAAATCAATATGATTGGGTCCAACATTCGTAATTTGGAATTATGAATGAGAATAAGAAAAGGAAAAGAATAGGCAAACGTGTTAGTGGACTTTCTAAATCAGGAAGTTTCCAAATTTAGAAAGTGCACTGAATTAGGGTTTCCACTTTTGGAAAGTTGGAAATCGAGAGTTGGCATTCGTAATGACGAGGACATTAGAATGATTGAGAAAATGTAATCGTTACAATTTTCCGATCATTGAATTGAGAGAGACGAGCAAGCAAAAGAACTAACGAACTTAAGTTGTTGGGCCCGGTCCAACTTGAGCCCGTTAGGGTTTTATGCAAGATACTATAAATACTTGATTTATAGGTCTTGCACAAAAAACAACACATACAAACCCTAACCCTAGCCGCTCCCCTCTCTCTCTCGTCCACTCTCCCCGCGGCCACCACCGGCGCCGTCGCCGGAATCTTGCCGGAATCGGCCATCCCTTGGCCGATTCACATTGGTAGTTCTTTCCTTCTTTCTATTCTTCCGTTTTTCTAACTATTACGTGTCTAGTGCCACGTGTTTAGTAGATCGAAGTATACGAGGTGAAATCCGAGAGGAGGAAGATCGAAGAATCGAGGAGCTGCACACGAGTCGACGCCGCACGCATTCCCACGCACCGCCCAAAGACAGCGCGTGAGCTACACGCGCCGCCGTAGCTCGTCTTGCCGCTGCTGCCGTTCCGCCGCTGCTGCCCCGGATTGCACGGATTGGTTTCCGTGGCAATCTAGCTTTGCTTAGTGCGCCTACCTCACGCTTCAAGAGGTAAATTTTCGAATCCATTGTCGTTAGATTCGATTACGTTTAAATTGAATATATATGTTCGTTCTAGTATGAAACTTGTATGATTTTATGTGACTACATGAAATCGTTTATTTGTTGCGAGCATGATTATTTGATTAAAACGCGAGCATGTTAATTGATTTAAATGCGGTTGAATAATTAAGCACGTATGTTGTTTTTAATTTCGCTGGAAGCGCAAAGGTACGCAATTAATTGTTTTCAATTATCGGGCATGTGTTTATGTGTTTTAAAGTTGTTTAAATCGCATAAAATTTTTGTTTTCCGCTGCGTACACGTGTCCGATTCCCAACACCTATTTCCGATCTGCTTAGCCACGTCATTGCTCTTCTGGCGGTGTGGGATCTGGTGGATGCGAAGAATCATCATTATTTTGTTAACCTCCATGGTAGTTGAGTCTTCGTCAGATGAGATTTCTTGGAACAAGAGGGTTTTTTTGTCGAGTAGCCAAGGGCAACCCGCTAAAGCGTGTTTATAGTCCAACACATGATTGAATCTGATAGTAAACCTATTTGTCCCAATGGACTGGATCGCACACCCTTTCACCGGCTGAAGGAGTCTGACAATGTTGGCCTTAAGGGTGTGTTGAGAATACTCTTTAATAGCCGCCACTCGTCCCACCAATCTCAGAACATATAATTGTAGCTTGGGCCTTTGCCACAAGGGGCAATTTGCTATAGGTCCCTCTATATTATAATTTATGTGTACAAATCCAAGTCAAAATCTCCATATTTCAATAAATTAATTATATTTATTGTGTCAAAAATACCCTTAGTCAAATATGATCAAATCCCCTAAAAACCTCTCTATCAAAACAAATTTCCAAACATTTATCTTAAAAATATTAACAAAAAAATAAATAAATTAGTAAAGAAAAATATAATATTTATTGTGCAAACTCATACTCTAAAAACGACACCGCCTCTTCGCCACCATCTATCGTGAACTGCAAATAGCAAACTGACGCCTATGACTCCGTGAACTGCAAATAGCAAATGATGCCTATGACTCCGTGAACTGCAAATAGCAAACTGAATAGTAGAATTTGTATTATTGAGTTGCAAACAACGAAATACCAATGATTCACCCAGAAAAAATTGAGAAAAAAAAATCCATAATTAGCATTATTGAGTTGCAAAATAAAGATTACCTATGACTTCTCCAAATACAAACATCAAATTGAAGAGAAAATTCAAAAGGAGAAACAATATGTAACACAAAATTGTAAAATGCAAAAAGAAAACAACTAAAGAAAAAAAAACCGAGGTACTCACCCCAAATCCTTGTCGCCAGTCCTAACTCCGTTACAAATTCTAGAATCGGCGCCGCCGTAATGAACCCAATCAATTGAATGTAACCAGTCAAAGCCCTCGGCGAGGATGGTAAGGACCGAGTCGGAGATATTGTTGGGGACGAAGCAGAAGGTGGATTCCGAACGCCGGTGAAGAGATACATCAAAATCTCGTGGATCGATTGCCGTAGAACCACCACCCAAGATCGGGGCGATAATCTCCTGAAGTGCCTTCCATCATAACAACTGAAGAAGTAGAAATTAAATACAAACAAGAAACAAGGTCTCCAAAATAGCAAACGATTTTTCCAAACAAAGAACAAGCAAATATGTCCCACAACCAAAAAACAAACGAAAAATATTTGTTTACAGTTTGTTGAAGGTTTTTGTTGAAGGTTCTAGCTATGGCAGGATTCAAAAGAAAAGAAAAAAATCGGAATCGAGAAAGGGAAGAGAGTGAGAAATTGATCAGAATTTTTTTTCGAAAAGATGTTTATCGAAAAAAGAAACAGAAAAGACAAGATTGAGAGGCACGAGATAGAGATAGAGAGAGATGAGAGATTAGATATAGGGGGAGAAAGAAACGTGAGATTGGAGAGAGAGGAAGATTGATATATGAGATTTACTTTCTTTTTAATTAAGGGTGTTTATGTCAATGTACTAATTATTTTATTTTATTTATATTTTTTTATCAAAGGATCTAGACCTATAATCATCTAATAGTTACGATCT